AAAAGGCACGAGTCAGGAAAAAGACCGCGAGTCGGGAAAAATACAAGGCACGAGTCAAGAAAACGCCCGCGAGTCAGGAAAAGACCACGAGTCAGGAAAAAACAGAGCACCAGTCAGGAAAAACCTACCAGTCAGAAGAAAAGCAGGTACGGACAACTGCTAAAATCACTCTTCCACTTTGCGAGAAGTACAGAAAAGGCAGCTGACAGAGGGATGCCAGGTGCACACATACGTTAAAACCACCTCCTTTTGACTAGCGATGAGTAGAATGACATGACAGAGGGAAAGCCATGTACAGACACATGTTAACACCACCCATTTCTCACTTTGCGAAAAGTAGGAAGGCATGACAGCTGAGAAGGAGAAAGCCAGGTACACACATACGTCAAATACCTCGTCATTTTACAAGAAATAAACAGAAAAGACTATTGAGAGAGGCCAGAAAAGTACAGACATGTGTGAAACCCGCCTTTTTTAACTTTGCGATAAGTGGGAAGACATATGTTAAAACCACCCCCTCTTCACTTTGCCATAAGTAGAAAGACATGACATAGGACGCCAGGCACAGACAGAGGTCCAAACCGGCTCGTTTCTCCAATCTGAGGCCTTCCGGCAATCCCCCCGACCCCCCAAAAATTGTGCCTGGGCCCAGATAGGCTTCGGGGCTAGTTTTCAAAACCGTCCGTGCTGGGGGTCCCGAAGGACCCCAAAAATTTCCGTGCCGTGGGGATTTGCTTCCGGAGCGCATGTAAATTTGAGCATGGTTTTGGGGTGCAAGGGCCCCTCGGAGAAATGGAGGTCCGATGATGCAAGGTCGGCGGCATTGACCTCCGCTCCATGGCTAAAGCCAGGGCCATGGCAGTCCCACCCACTGAAATCCTTAAAAACCTAGCAAAACGGCCAGCCTCAAGAGTGGGGATGAGGCGTGGGATGGAGGCCAGAGGGGCGGGGGGCACAGGGGGATGGGGAGGGTGGGGGAGGTTAAAAACAGCCAAAGCGGTTCACCACTGTGTGGCGAGAGGAGTGAGCCCCCCCCGGCCGGCCCGGCCTATGTGTGTTTTTGGCCCGTTGCTTCTCTAGCCTGGCATGTAGGAGGAACTGGCATTCCAGCAGATGCGAAGCCCAGCAGACCAGCCAGACCCTCCTAGAAACTCGAAAAATAGGAGTTGTTTGGACTTTGCCGGATTGTGGTAGGGGGAGGGTTAACTTACTCTCCTTAGCCTCCGGACCTGGATCTAAACGCCCCAGGCCTCCGGCCTTGGTGGATTCGATTTCTTTGCGACAAAGTGGATGAGTACATGTGTGTGTGGGTGGCGAGGAAACCGCGACCTGAGTCAAGTTGGAATCGAAACATGTAGCCGGTCTGAGCCGGAAAATACGAGGCCTTGCGAGGTCCATGTCGGAAACCCGCCGCAAGTCAATCAATCTGACCCGATCCTTGGTACTTCCGACTCAAGTTTCCCGACTCAAAACCGAGCTGCGTGTTTCCCCGCACCCTATTTCCCCACGTAGGGTCTCGGGCGCCCCGTACAGCATTGCACGCATTGCACGTCAGGGTAAAGCTGCAGCGGGCTCACAGCTGGAGCGTCTTCTACGTAGCTGTCAATGCCATGTGAACAACATGAGTTCTTCCTAGTTCAAGTCGCCCCCTTTTCAATACAACCCCACCTCCTCCCAGAGAACTCAAGATCCTGGAAGACGGACGACGACAGAAAGGGGCAAGACTCCAAGACATCTCTTCAAAGGGCCAATAAAGATGCACCGCAAGAAATCAAAGGGGGTTAGGCATGACATTCATGTCGAAGGCTTTTTGTTGATGCTGCTGTTCAGATTTTTCCAGGAGCTTTGTAGAAGGATCTAAGGGAAAACTTATTGGAATCACAGAGCTCCCTTGTTTTCAAAATGTGTATGAGTTTAGAATCTTTGTCAAACAGGATGGGTAAAACAAGACTAGAAAGGGATTCATTGAGTTTCCAGATTTCTGCTGGTGTTGGAAAGCTTGGCAAAGAGAAACTATGATACACGAATCCAAACATAATCCAATTAGAAGCAGGTATCTCGTTGAGTTCCGAGACTGTGGATTGTTTGATCAAGGAACTTGCTTATGTAAATGAATCTAAGGAAAATCAAGTTGGACATGGGGATCCCCTTGATTTCCTGCATGCGTATTCCTTTAAGTCTAATGGCTATTTCTGACAGATTCTGTCAGTTGTCCACCATGAAGCCACATCTACGGTCCGGGGGGTACCGCAAACACAGGTGAACACCAGCACAGGTAGCAGTCCTTCCGCCTGTAGAGCCAGGTCGAATGAAACGCACGGGTAATGCCCGTGACTCTCCATTAATGATGCACGAAGTTGCGGTTTTCGCTCCGGCAATCTGGAAGATGGCCGGAACACGAGCCAGTGTGGAGACAATTCTTGCTCTGTGGGAGAACGTGGCGTTCTGAGAGATGAGAGCATATTGAACTGTTGCCTCACTGGATGGTTGTGGCAAGCAAGGCGCTGGCCCGGGCAAAGGGGATGGCCGGATCGAATAGCCTTGGGCAACACCCTCTCATGTCAAAAAATGTACGGGGGCTACGAGATGTAGAGATCTAAACAGGGCCCCTCAATATGCAGACTGAGCAAAGAAGCTGAACGAGCGATGCGAACCAGCATTTGGAGCATCATTCTAAGAGGCATGTAATAAAGCATTGTACTGAGCTGGACAGCCACGCGTTGCAACGAGTATCCGCGAGTCGCGCATTCACGTATTGCAAAGAATGCGATCTAGAATGCTGAGTGTTTGGGTAGTGATGCAAGAGCAGAACCGTGCTCACTTTCCCTACCGAGGTCAGGGTGGATGGATGTCGAGGAACTTGCCTGGTCACCTCTGCTCATGCGTCACAATGATTCACAATGCTGAGCTTCAGCTTGTGCACGGGCAGGATCGTGTATGGAGCTCCCACACGCAATGGGACGCGCAGGAGCGCTTCACACTCGACACATGAACGCAGCAAAAGTCCTAGCAATTTGCTCGGCTCTAGGAATGCTACGCCGAGCCATCATCTTTTGCAGACAGCGGCTAAGGCCAGCTTCTTTGTGGTCGTGTACAGCTAGACCTGAACCCCTAGCTTGCTGCCGTGGCAGGTGTTTGTGAGGTCCCAAGCTCCAGAGAGCGGCCTAGTCGACCAGCTTGAGGAAGCCTTCGAGCGAGAGTTGGGCCATGACTTGCGCGATGACAGCACCTGTCCAGACGCATACTTGATGCGCAAACCCTTCAAGGCAGGGTTTGTGCTTGGTTCGATTAAGGATGAATCTTAGATAACCTTAGTTAGGGCCATCTCATTTTGTTTGATGGCTGGGCGGCGTCAGCCCTCTTTGACCTCATACCATTCACTTCTGGCACAGGGCTACCCGGTCTGATTCGCGCAGTGTTTGAGTGCACATCCTGCGGTTTTGAAATGAGTCTGATGTCGGCTTTCCAAGACAGAGACAGAGAAAGCTCTTGCGATAGGCCACTTGTGATGCCACTTGTGTCGGATGCCTTCTTGCTATGTCTCAGAAAGCTAGGGGAAGCATTGAGCGGGCGGCTAGGCACAGAAGCGGGGTTGAACAGGCCAGCGAGGATATGTACATTCGTGTACGCACCGCACGCACGTGCATGTGCATATACGTTTGTGGTCTTTGCCTGGATGCTTCCTGACCAATTAGCTTGTTCTTGACAGGAAACATTTTGGTGGCACTTCTGGGGCCCAGCGTATCACTATGCTGGAACTGGTGCATACATCGTCAAGGCACCGAGCAATCTGCATGGCAGCAGAGCAGTTCAAATTGGTCGTCTGTCAGGCCGGGTCCATCCCGCAAATCCTGGAACATCTCCAGAAACAGCCCATCAGTGACATCGACGGGATGCTGTTGTCGCAGGCTGGTTTATCCGACCTGCCGAGAGAGCCGGAGCATGAAGTTGATATTGATATAGGCCACTCATGGGCTGTGCTACGATCACCAAAAGACTTCGGGCTGGCAGGGCGATCTGCGCGCATACGAGCTGTGGCCTCATATCTTCCCATTGACCGGAGACCACATGAAGTCCACCATGCTGGACGCGTCTAAGTGACTTGGTCGCAGATGCCGACAAGAATCAAGAAGCACCTCCCAACCCACTTGATCCACTTGCACAGCAAGGGCCAAGGGCCAAGGGTTTCTGAGTCCGTTTGTCCTGTTCACACGCCGAGTAGGCCTGGCAGTCCGAGTCCAATCCCAGTCCGAATTTTGAAGGGCCAAGGGCCAACGCATGTGGAAACGACACAGCTGCGCAGATATGTTTTATGTGGTCGCAATATGCCCACGTGCTCAGAGACTTAGAGCCCAAACAGACATCTCGTGCTGGCTCAGGACGTCTCAGTCTGCTTTGTTGGGCCAGCTGTCTGAGTACCTTGAGGAAGGCTGGCTCACAGATCCAGTGTGAGGTGACTTGGCATACCTTGGCCATGTGCCCGTGGCACAGGTGGAGGAAAGGAGCAGAATCTCTCCGGAGCTGATCCGTACCCCGACTGCCGTTTCAGCTTTCCCCCAGACACTCGTGTGGCCCAAGTCCGGTCGAGGACAAATAACAACACAAAAAAGTGCGAAGATGGCAAATGTCAGTTTGCAAGAGCTCAGGCTGATCCGCACTGCAGGATCTGCAGGTCGAGCAGAGGTCAAGCGGAAGGATCTGCTCAAAGCGTTACGCAACTGCATTTCTCATATATTTTCCACTTGCAGCTGGGCGGTTTGCCTCCTCTCGCTTTGCAACGATTACCTGCTCAAGGTCCGCAAGATTGTCTGCTGACGTGGCTAATTGAGAGCGTCACATCTTTTGCATAATTTCACCTCGATTTAGCGTTTCACACGATTTGATCAGCCACAAGGCAGGCATCGTTTGTCGGAAAAGCCACCTTTCATGTCTGAGGAGTGACCCACACAAAGTGGCAGCAAGGAGTGCAGAGACGAGCTTCGGGTCCTCTCCGGCCCTGAGCTGGCTCCCAAGTAAATCCACGATGTCAGACCTGTTGGATGTTGGATGTTCGGAGCTGCGAGGTTCCAGCCCATGCCCAGGAAGGCTCTCTCATAGACGCTTTTTTGCCTACTTGGAATCGTGAAATTGTAGGTCACCTTCACAGGCTAGGCCAGACTGCATGGAAAGGGTGTTGTGCCCAGCTTGGCTTTAAGATGCTTTGAGGACATGTTGCCGCGAGGCCTCAAACGATCGGCAGCTTCAGGAGATGGCGGCACGCGTCCAGAAGGCCGAGGTGCTGAAGCCAATTGAAGGTGGTAGGCTCTTGATCGTGTGGGGATCGTGTGGACATGAACATTGCAGACTGCCGCGCGGCAACGTGAACGGGACTTCCGCTTGTCTGGGGTTGGTAAATGGCAAGTGATGCGCATTCTGCTAGTCGGGAGGACATCGAAAGAATGAAGGGTCGCCTGGAGCAAGCCTTGGCAGAAGCGACCAAGCGCAAGGACAGCACTTAAGCCCAAGCCCGACTTCAGTGAAGCAGATTGCAAAGCGCAGGTTTGTTTTGTTGCCACTCAAACCTGACGTCAGAACGTCTTCAGGAGCGTGAGCGGTCTGCCCTGACAAAGTTCTCAAAGAAGGCTGTCGCAAGAGGGTTGGTTTGGGAAGTTGCCACTCGAGAAGCAGTCAGAGATGTGACATTGGTGTGAACATGTCTGACTATTTTCGCAGGCCGGCCGCGATGATGCAGTGGAGGCAAATGGGCACATGCTGATGCGAAGTGCTTCGCAGATTGCACTTGCTGGACCGAAGGCAGTCATAGCTCATAAGGCGGCTGCGGAAGCTGCACAGGCAGAACTGTTGTGGCCAAAATGCATTGTGAATTCACCCTCGCTTGCGAAGTGCTGCACACAGCTATATGGTAAGCAGTAGTAGGACATGTTTGATTTCAACAGTGCTGCTTCGAGCACGCCAGCTGCCAACATGAACTCCGGCGCATACTGAATCTTTTGGCTCGGTGACAGTAGCAATTGCAGCAAGGCTTGTGCCTGCAGCTGCAAAGCAACTGACCTCAAGATGACTCGCACATCTTTTCTCTAGACCACAGCCTGATCAATTTCCGAAGCTCCTAGTCCTCGGTGTCCAGATGCTGTCGTTTTGAGAGCCAAGCTGTTCTCATGGCAGGATGCCAAGATTAGGCCACAAAATGCTTTAAGTCAGAGGATCTACTGCTCCTCCCGCTGAGGCCAGTGTGGGATCCCAGCCTCAACCTCAGGAGCTGAGCAGTAAAGGCAGGACGATTGTGGTCATTTTAGGTCAGAGGTTGAGGAAATTGAAGTCCTCGAAGATGAGGACATTTGCTCGGCCCATGGGCATGCAGACTGCCTGAAGCAGCAAACAACCCCTTCCCCTTGAGATAAAGGCCATCCTCACGAATGGATGACATTTTTGGGCTTTCATGTCTGTCACGTTCAGGGAATGGCTTAAGCTAGGATGAAGTAAGCTAGTTTTTTGATTATTGTAATGTGTTTATAAAACGCCTTGTGCGGAGCTTTGTACATGTCCGACATCTTCCTGTTGTTGTGGGAGGTAGCATGGCACGGGTTGAAAGCTTTGGCTGCCCCGTGCAGGATGAACCGCCGACTGAGGAGCAGGTTGGGGCTTACTAGCTGGCAGACAACTTGCACGCCAGCAGCATGCCTTCACAAAGGTCCTGGAGTATGCAGAATTCCTTGGCATGGACCTCGAGTCGGAGAGGTGGCATGCGTAGGGTTGCTGGGGATCAGTTTGGGGTGTACGCCTCGGCATGGGCTCTGCTATGCTCTGCTATGCTCTGCTATGCTCTGCTATGCTCTGCTATGCTCTGCTATGCTCTGCTATGCTCTGCTATGCTCTGCTATGCTCTGCTGCTTGGACAGGCACCTCCTTTGGATAGCACGAGAAGGTGTCGCAGCTCCAGTGCCCAAGCCGTGCCTTTGACCAAAAAATAGATTCTGTGATGCGAATCGATGCGAAGCAAGCCAAGCCCAAAATCAGATGGGCCTCAAGGTGGAAGACCTGTAAGGAGAAGGGCGAGGCATCATAGCCATGCAGATTTAGGATGCTTGGCTTCTGCCATGTCGCAATGCCTGTGCAGGTGTTCTATTTTAATTTTGACACAGAAGAAAGCTCCTGGGACCATCCGCTTGCGTGACCCTCAGTGTGTTTGGACCTTCAGTCGGGCCAGCCAAACCCTTGTGCTCATGCGTCAGGACGGCCATTACAGGAATCTCCTGGAGGAGCAGCGCAAGAAACCGAGGACAGAGGTACGACCTGCTTGGCTTTGTCCCAATTTGCGCCTTTGCGCATTTTCACCCCTTGTTGCGCCACAGGCCAGCTCAGAGGTTCTAGTAGAGGAAAAGGCAAAGGAGGAGCGGAAGCAGAGCAAAGGCCTGCGATGTGATGTTTGAATGCCTACCGTTGGCGCACTCCTCGGGCACTGGTTCAGCAGGTGAGGATTCCAAGCAGGAGGTACTGAACGTACTGCTGCCCTCCTGTTGTTGTTGCTGCTGTTTTTGTGGTGTTCCTGCTGTGTACAAAGCCGGTAGGAGGACGGAGATGCAAGCTTTGTGTCGGAAATGGTTGGCAGCGACTCTGAGGCGGGGACAGGTTGCAGATGCTTCGCGTATGAGCTGTAGAAATGCAAATGCGTAACTGAGGCTAGTTCGAGGAAGGCCGGCTTCAGCACAGGTTACCTGGCAGATCCTGTGCGTGTGTCGACCAGTTCAGTCCAAACGAAGGCGCTGAATTCCGGAGCTGCGTGGTCAGACTCGCGCAAATCCCAGTCCAACTCGCTGAGTCCAACTAGCTTCTGCCTTCCCGGGAGCGAGGTCTGCGAGGTCAGCCAGTGCCCACTCGGCCCAGTCCTCCGAAGAAGGTGCATATATGGTCCTACAGGATATGCAGGCAGCAGCTACTACCTTTGTTGTGTGTTCTCCTCCGGAGGGGCTGCACAGATGGACTTACCAAAGAGCAACTCCCAAGACAAGGCGCCAGTCAGACATGTTGGCGCAGGAGACAGCGGCCCTGCCCTGACATGCCCTGACACAGGCCTTGCACGGTGCAAAGCACTTCGCCGAAGCGGAGCACATGGTGCGCGTGGTGCATGTGGAGCCCGAAGCCGAGGCCACTCCTCTCCAGTCGGTGGCCCAGTTGTAAGAGAGGATAGACGCCTCAGAGCCGAACCTCCAGAAGCCATACATCGACCGCTCAGGGAGACAAAGACTTTGTCGCCTTCAAAGACCCGAGGAGCTCAAGGAAGCGCTCGCGTGAAAGCTGCGCAGATTCTGCAAACTGCATTTGGAAGGAAAGGGTGCTGCGGGAGTCGGCTTGGGTAGTCTGAAGGACTCGCTAGCCGCTAGCCAACTTATGCATGGAATGATGAGCCTTGCCCCGCAGGACTCCGAGCTTCCTTCCAGCAACATCAGCGAGGCGACGACATGCTTAGCTCAGCGACGCATTGCCTGATGCTATTGCGTGGAGGTCTCCGAAGATTTCCGGAGTGCTGTTCACTTACAATGGTGGAGTTTGAAGCAGCGTAGCAGCGTAGTATTTGCTCGGTGGAGATGTGGCGCAGAGCCGAGGATTGGGGTGCACCAAGCCCGTGGCATTCCCAGATGTCTCAAAGTGTGAGAGTTGTTTTCGGATGTCATCCCCTGAAGGCTCGGAAGTGGGGCTGGAGGCCTTCATGCAAAATTCCATCCGAGCTGTTTGATGGTAGCGACCCTGCTAAGTAAGCGTGTATCCGCAAGTGCAAGTCACGCACGACATGGTGCTCATTGGAAGCCCAAGGACAACATGGCTTTCAGCGAACAAGCCATGGAGCTTAGTTACCATTCCCTGCCAGGACTCTCACGCGAGGCTCACAGCCTGGAGGTGGCTGTAGTTCATCGATGTTCAGTGTTCGCAGTTCACCGATGTTTGCAGGCAGTTCTACGGAATTCTTTTGGATTCCAGGTCTCGACTTCCGGAGACGCTGGCTCATTGCTGGAATCTCGGATGATGCGTTGTGCACATTCACACTTTGAAAGGAAACAAGATCGCACCCAAGGTCGGGAGTTGCATTGGTCCCTGCAGTGCCTCAGTTTATTTTGGGCGGAGAGATGTGCAACTGCTATATACTTTTACAGGCAAGCGAGTACACGATGACAGGACAAATCCCAGACAAACTCTCCTCCAGCTGCCGCTGCTTCCGCTGTGGCTGCTGGAAGAACTGCCTCCTGTGACGCACTGGAAGAACATGTGTTGTTCCTCTGCATGACATCCCTCCAGTCCATTCGTGAGACAAGGGCACGCAAGCTTCCTGCGCGCGGATCAAGGTCAAGAGCTGGACATCTCTCAACAATGACCTTGCATCTCTGCAGCACAGAGTGTCTCTAGACAGAAGCTGCTCGGCTGAGCACCTTTGCGCTATCTCGAGCTGGTTCTAGTTGTTGACAGAAGCTTACGGGAGTATGTGCGCGCCACGTCTTCTGCTTCTCGATAAGCAGAGAAGCTGCTGGTCAATGCCTGATGTCTTGCATGTGCTCCCAGGCATGTCTGCGAGAGGCGTCGGCAGATGTTGTGTTTTTTCTCCTCTTGCGCACCCTGGAGATCCTGGCAGGTCCTAGCTTCAGCAGGAAGGCTCCGAGAACAGCAAGCTGCCCTACTCAGTAGGCGCGCAGACGTCCCACGAAACAGATGTGCATTGTCATATCCCGCAAGGCTGAAGAGCTAATCATCCTTTAGAACTTGGCGGTGAACCCTGCGATGAGCAAACTCCACCTGAAAGGCTTGAGCCCTTGCAAGAGCCATGATTCAAGCAGAGAGATCCCGTTGATGAAGCTCAAGATGAGCTGGCTCTGCCTCGCCGCAGAAGCCAGGCAAAAAATCAGGTCCACGGGCTCAAAGACAGCCCTTTGCTTGAAGATGCCGAAAGTATGGCGCGCTAATGCAGAGCCGAGCGCGAAGACTCCGAGCAAGCATGAAAAGGGACAGGCTTTTGCCAATTGTTAGCACATGCACCCAGACCTTCCAGAAAGCCGGGCAGGCTGAAGCATCTTCGCTTAGGAAGCAGGCTGGATGAGCCCACGGCCATGCAGGCTTCGTCGACATTGCCTGGCCAGGTCCATGTGCTTAGCTTTCAGCTCGAAGAGGCAGAAGACAAGCTTCGACGCATGGAGGCTGCGCATGAACGTGTTTGGTGCCGACAGAATCCGACAGATTTTGCTTTTCACATCTCGTTTCTTTTTCGCAGGCTGTGGCAGAGCGTACGGTATCTCGATTGGTTGAGGTGGGTCCTCAGGGTAAATGCTTGAGCAGAAGCAGTTGTTTTTCACCTCTTGCAGGATGCTCCAGAGAAGAGCACAGGTGATGCTGAAGCGAGAGCCTCCCAATTGGCCTCCCTGGCCGCTCAACTCCTTGAGTTAAGCGTTGGTGTCTCTGAGGCGCTAGCCGACGAACGCGAACGAAGAGCAGGCCTCGAGGACTGGGGAGCCCTACTTGTTCAACCTGTTCCCAGATCAGACTTCTTCACGCAAGAAAGGCTAAAGCGAATCCTGAGATGCCGCGTTTGTTTCGTCCCAGGAGCAACTGAAGGCAAGCCACCTGATGTACTCCCAGCAGGAACGGAGACGGCCTTGCTTCCATGAGTGCTGCTGTGTTTAGAGATGGCTTTGCAGATCAGCCAGCTCTCGGCTTCATACCGACAAGCTGAGGACAACTCCAATGGTCCGAAGGCTAACCAAGCATAGCGGACCTGCTTTCCTTGGCCTAGGACCAAGTGGTTCGGCTGAAAAGTGAACTACAGGACAGAGCTAGGCACCTTCCCTCACAAGCCTTGTAGCCGTACTTGCTATCCGTATGTTGTGCAGGGAGCCCAAGCGTTTGGACAGAAAGCTTCAGCAAGAGGTGCCAACCTGAGTCAAGCTGCCCAGGCTGCTTGATACGCCCCTTAGACTAGTTAAAGTCTTCTAATGTGGGTCTTGGAATTCAGGCAATTGCAATCCTTATGGAGCTCTTGTGTGCTGCTCGTACATGCTGACTGAGTTAAACCACAAAATCTGCACTGCGCAGTCTTTGGCTGCATTTTCAGACCGTGCCTTTGGAACAAGGAGCTATGTTGACATCCGGTTCGATCTGGGCGTACCGCCCAGGTGGCTTGCAAGCGCCAACTTAAACTGACCACATGATTCGAGAGGAGTCCCAACGAGCATAAGCAGAGAGATCCAACCTTCAGACAGACTGTGAAGGGACGACGGGCTCCCTAAGTCTACGTAGCACTTTCGACATCCACGCCGTATACTCTTCTGGTCAACACTGTCAAGCTTCTCTTGTATGGTACTGTGCCTTGCACAGATGCTGGCATGCCAAGTGCATGTCTCTCCGCGCGCAACTGAGGAGAAAATTGTTCTGATCCGCAAGAGTGGCTGCGCTCATCCAGGCCACAAGCACAATACCGACCAACCAATCCAGAGGCACGCCGAAAAGCGAGGACAAGCAGGAAAGAAACTTAACAGATCACATGAAGCATTGCTGGTCCTGGAATGGAAGGTCTGGCAACGTCATACACCATGTACAGTGCCACCAGTGGCCTCCACATGCAAATCGCAAACGAATCGGTCGTGGCCAGCCTCAGCAAGAGGGATGTCGCTGCACAAATCAGGATACGTTCAGCACAGACATGCCGTGTCAGCGGCAACAGAGGCCTCCTTCGGCGAGCGTGCAGCTCCTCTGCACGTTCGCAGACACACGGCAGCCATCTCATCGCAACAACGCTAGAAGCCTTTACACCTTACACTGCGCACACTTGCCTAGAAGGTTTCACCGTCCTGGGCGGGGGGGAATGCATTTGGTGGCCAACAGAGCGTCCCCTTTGCCTCCGCTGTGCGTGCCTCTCAAGTATGCCAATCTGGAAGTTGCTCTTCGAAGCAAATCGCGTTTATCTTAATTAAAGGCCTTTCTGAGTTTCCTTGCTACTGCTGCGTTCAACTTAGATATCTGTTTGCTGTGTAAAGCCTCCTTGCTTGTTGCCTGTTTGAGGCTTGCAATAGGCGAGAAATCGGTGCCCGTTCTACTGCTGATGCTGGCCTCCAGTCAACCCAAACCGACCTCATTTTGCCGGTTTTTATGCGCCTGTCGTTGAAGTCAGCACAGGGCATTGTGCTCGAAGTGACGGTGCCTTCCACAACTTTGCAAGACATCTTTGATCGCACTGCTGTTGATCTATCGTCTCGGCGTTTACCCTCAATTACCTTGTCCCACGGTCTTGTGACAGATCCGTGGGATCCCACTGTACCAGAGTTGCAGCGTGCTGGCACTTGAAAGTGCTTGCAGCTGCCTGCCTATACGACTGCCGAGCGATAGCGCATGGAAGCACTTGATGCAAGGTTCTGAAGCTTCGTGAAGAGCTGGCCGAGGTGCTCTCTGGACAAGCTTTTCAAAATACAGGGAGTGTCACAGATTCAGCTAGGTGCGCAAAGCTTGGAAGACTACAGATACGCGGAGCCTCATTCAACGAGATAAGGCCTTGCAGTCTGGGCCGGATGTTAGTCGCAGACCTCGTAACTGGAAAGGAGCTTCGTCGTCTGGGTTTAGATGCAAGTAGTTTGGAGGCGAGGCTGTGTGAGCTTGTTAGAGGTGGGTGCATCCTACTAACGCCAGATGTCAGGATCACATGCCAAAGTCCGACATGGCAGCGATATTGGTTGAGCTTTGCAGGTCTAAAGCGAGGCATTTGCTTGCTCTCACGTGAATTGCCAGCTGCCGTGAAGGCTTGTGGAGGTTCGAAGCACAGCAGACGTTGTTGCAGAGGCCACAAGCTTCCAGAGTGAGCTGTGATGGGCCGCTTGTTGGCGGCAAGTGTTTGACCATGGCTAAACTATGAGCTAGGTGGGTCAGTTGGTTCGTCGCTGCAGGCAGGAACATTAACCCGCTGCTATACAAAAGATTCAGGATTTTAGTGTCTCAAGGTCGTTGGAGGATGCTGCAGCTGATGCACGCACGCAAGCACGCATGGAGCTTGCTGCCTAGCTTGCAGTTCTGCTTTGCTTGAGCCATTGGGAAGTGCGAGCAGTGAGGCTAGCCGAGGGCGCGCTGCAGGCTCTGCAGGCTGGAGACGTTTTGGCATTGTCTTAGTTTTTCCCACCTTTCTTGAGCCAAACAGGCAGGACTGAGTTATCAATTATCAATATTTCTCAAATCTGTGCGCGGTAGCCGGCTACTGCAAACCTGAAAAGGCGACAAATCTTGAAGGGAGAGGGTGCAGCGATTCAATTGCGGGTTAGACTGTCTTCTGACCAGATTTACTGAAAACTTTGTGCATCATGTGGGCATGTTGTCTTCCGCAACACACGATATAGCTTGAACGCCGTCTGAGTTGCAATTCCGGTTTCTGGCCCCTTGCTGCAGCCGATCGGTGGCCACCTCTTCTCTCACATATCTACCTGATGTGATGAGGTCTGTGTCGCTGTCGCGAGTAAGACACGCAGGATCTTTTGCCAACCAAAGAGCCACAAAAAGCGCGAGTACGTAAACCGGGAGGTTATTTCAAGCCATCTGTATTGCAATGATGGCGTTGCCCAGTCAGGGCAGCAGCTTCACAACTTTGTTTTTTGGCTTATCAGATATTGATTAAGGCAAGCTATTCCAGCTGCGTTCTCCCGGCAGGAGGGCTGGGGTCCCGTGAAACTTCGTGAGGCAGGGAAATTATGTAGACACGGGAAGGGGCATCAGAGTTTGTTTCTGTTCATCTTCCGATGCAAGGCTCCTGGAAGGCTCGGAGATGTTCTCGCATTGGCCAAGAGGTTCCCCAAAAGCTTGTTCTGCCCCGCCTGCAAGAAAGCCTGTTAGAAAGGCAGCAAGCAGCTGCCAAGGCTGGAAGTCTGAGTTGTCTCAAAAGATCTTGGAGCATTGATATCTGAGATGCAGGAACTGGCCGCTTGCCTGCAGCTGCCTGAAAGTCTTGCCCCCAGCGCGTTGCAACACGAAACGGAGTGGAGCGCGGATGAGTGGGCCCAGACGCCTCCATCGAGCAAGCAACTCAAAAGACAAAAGAAGCAATCCAGAGGCCTGGAAAAGGAGAGCTGTGAGGAAATGCACCGATTTCTTGCGCTGCAGGCAGCGTGAGAACCGGGAGGCCTTGGCACGCCCTTAAGTTGCCGTTGCAGAAGATGTTGTCACAGCTGCACAGGCCTTGCATGAGGTGGCTCGTGCTTTGCGGCTCCCTGAAGGTGGGGGTGGATCTTGGCTGGGAGCTGGATTGAATGACGGAACCTACGCAACGCAGATAGCTCCGCTGCACAATTGTCTGAGAAGATTGCGGAAGTAACAGAAGCGCAGGGGGCCCAGAGATAACTGCCAGGCTCACTCCAAGACCCCCAATTTCTATGCCCCCGAGATCTCAGGCACCGTGAAAGCGAGAAGGCCGCTCGGCAACATATCAATTCTGTAAAGGGCTCGACCAAAACTGCAACAGAGGCACAAAGCAGTGTAGCGATGGAGAAGGGCTTCTAATGATGGCTTGCTCGTCTCTGGGTTACTGTGGGTTCTTGGCTGGCGTTCAGTCCTTGTCCACTGTGTGGCGCTGCACAGCTGTAAAGGATGAGCGCACGTCGCTCAAACTCTTGCTAGGGCTCACGGTCGGGCATACATCCAACCTGGTATTGAGAGCTGATAAGCGTAGGTGGGCGTGGCGGTGCTTAGTAGCCGAGCGACGTGTACTGTGTTGCCGATTGCGACATCCATCAGCTTAGTACAGCTTTGTACTGGATTATCTCGTCCCATCTGCAAGGCTTGCAAGGCCATCGCTGCTCACCTTCAGCTCCCGAACAGCAAGCAACTCAGATGCCCTTACAAGCAGAAGCCCCGTGAGCCATCGGACTGGGTAAGGTGCTTCGCTCACGCAAATCATTGCAAGCTCCCAGAGTCTAGAAGCATCGCCAGAGCCAGAGTTTCAGAATTTTGTGAAAATGTTTAGTTGTGCTTCAGTGATTTCTTGCGCTGCAGGCAGCGTGAGAACCGGGAGGCCTTGGCACGCCCTTAAGTTGCCGTTGCAGAAGATGTTGTCACAGCTGCACAGGCCTTGCATGAGGTGGCTCGTGCTTTGCGGCTCCCTGAAGGTGGGGGTGGATCTTGGCTGGGAGCTGGATTGAATGACGGAACCTACGCAACGCAGATAGCTCCGCTGCACAATTGTCTGAGAAGATTGCGGAAGTAACAGAAGCGCAGGGGGCCCAGAGATAACTGCCAGGCTCACTCCAAGACCCCCAATTTCCATGCCCCCGAGATCTCAGGCACCGTGAAAGCGAGAAGGCCGCTCGGCATGTGGTAGTTGATCCGGGTTTGCTTACTCTCGGCTGCAGGTCTGGAAGGAAGTTTCCGAAGATCTGAAGCTGCCACCAGGCTGCTCCCTGAGTCACGAGGTTGTGCCATGTCCAACTCGTGTTGGCAAAGAAGAGTCGTGAGCCCGCGTCATCCTGCGTCTCAGGCGCAGATCAACCCCAGAGGGTCGGAAGAATCCTTGAGCTGAGTCTTGCGTTCGGAACTCACTTCGTTCATTTCTGCACATGTTTGGCTGTATGGAGCTCCTGAACCTTTCGAGCTTCAGTTCAGGCAACGAAACAATGAGCAGGCCAATCTGGGATGGAAGGGATGGGGGCATTTGCGGTATCATGCCTTCGGAGCAGTTCGGGTGGAGTTTGTATGAGCTTGTGTAGGCGCAGGAGATACCATCTCAGGCTGTGGATTTTCTTGCTTGAGACGACTGCATGCTTGGCCAGGGTCCCCTCATCGAGATGCCCAAAAACGACGAAGGGGTGACAAAAACACAAATTGAAGCTAGCGATGTTCTGAGCTCCCATCTGGCTGCTGGGGCACGTTAAGTCTCAGTCAACAGCCGCAAAGGCGTTGAAGGTTCACCTGCCGTCTCATTGCGGAATGTGTGAGTGGGGGGACTGTTGCCGTGTGTGCTATGCTTGGCTGCGATCCGCAGCAGCCAGCTCGTCAAGAGCAGCAAATCCACAGATTGGGATGCCATACCTTGTGCCAACATCATGAAGTGCTGTTGGGCGCCAGTGCCCAGCGTCACGGTTGTTTGATTCTGAAGGTTGTGCGTGAAGCATCCAGACAAAAGCCGTCCTCCGAGGGGCAGCACTTTGTTCTGGCTTGTTGGTTGGTTGGATCCTTAACAACGACAGGAAATCAGAAAGTGGTCTCCAATATCCTTGATTCTTTAATGACGCTTTGCACGATTGCGTGCAGGACAGATCAACTCACACCACTCACACAGATGCTGGCCTGTCAGGCATGCTGAGAAACGAAGGTTTCAAGGGACGGCCCACAGTCAGATAAAACCAGCTCGTGCGACTGGTGGGACTGTTGTATGAGCAAAGCAGGCTAGCACAAGCTCGGGATGTAGCAAACCTGCCTGGTGGTGTTTTTCAGAGATTTCAACGTCTAATTTGTTGAGGCCTGCCATAAAGATGTGGAATCCAGAGTTCAATGAGTGAAAACTTTAGATTTTAGATTTGAAGCCGTTCCGGAGATACTCGATAATCAAGCCATTTGCAAAGTATATGAGGCAGCAGTTAACCGAAGAGAACCTTTCTAAACACCGACAATCCTCCAGAAGACAGTTCGCAATGGCAGCAAGCCAACAGCCCCTGGGCTTACCACGTAAATACACAGTAATACCTCAGTTCCCCCTGCGTTTGCGTTTCACGTGTGTTGCGCACCTTGATTGACGCTCTGTGAGTGAGATCTCAAGAACACCTACATGCCCATGCGGTGCTTGGGTAATCACTGTACGCAGGGCTCCGTATTTTTTCACAATCCGGCGAGAAAGTCGTACGAGAATCAACGTGCAAGATTCAAAGTTAGTGGCGCTTGAGGCGTTGAATGCTTCTGCACGGAGCAGTGGCGCTACAAGCTGTTGAATACGAGAAGCCCTCCCAAGCTTGTATGAACGTCCTAGGCGGATGTTGACGCTTGCTTATTTTCCAAGTGCATACAGAGCGCACCACAGAGCCGGGCTGGAAAGCTTCCTTGAAGCAGGCATGCATCAATGCTTCTTCGCGCAGGAAGGCAACGTGAAGCAAAGTCCGCAGCAGATCAGCCCGCAGGAATGGCCTGACACAAATGCAAAGCTTGTGATAGTGCGACAAGACCCCAAACATGTCAATGCTCATGAGCCATCAATTTGCCAGGTATGGGTCCGTTTTGGAAGTTTTACCTTCTCTTGCCAGCAAGTACTTTCGGACTGTTTCGGACCTTGTAGGTAGCATTTGAAATGAAAGACATGAAGCGACGGTCCATGTCGTGTGCGATTTGTATGCGGTACAGGGAGTATGGACCCTAGCCGTAGCCTTCGTGTTTGCATTGCATGTTGACCACACGCACCACAAACGACAAGGTCAGTGTAAAAGCCCAAACCTGCAAAACGATAACAAAGTAAGTATTGTCGAATGACCAAAAAGCCCAGACAAAGAAATATCTCCTTACATCATGTGGGCGTTTACCAATTACCACTGTCATGTTTCTTCAAGAAAGAATGAGCATCCGAAACCCTTGCGCACCCCAGCCACACCAGAACTACATGAAGAGCCAGACAAGGACACAACTCAGGAGACCGGGCAAGACAAGCCTAGCCTGCACCAGCCCCACATGAAACAGGACAAGGGGAGCCAGCAGGACAAGACAAGACAAGCACGGGCCTCAACTCCTTCAATGGCGGTACCCATACAACAAAGTAAGCCCTGTAAGCAGTACCAGACCTTAAGTATTCTTCATGGAGCATGTGGAGCCCGACATGAAATTGCTTGGAGACTGGGATACAACACTCTCAAACCCTGTCAGATCGCCAAGCATCAGCCTTCGATGAAGCAAGACAAGGTGAGACGAGCCTTTGAATTTGAAATCCCACAGGCCCAACGATCAGGGCAGCGTCAACTGAGCAAGGCTCAGCTTGAGACCAAGCAGTGTGATGAAGAAGAAGACAGACCCAGCGAAATCAGCTCCACCTGAAAAGAGGCACGGTGAGGCAAAGGTGGCAAACCCCAACGGATACCTCTGACACCACCCCTTGTAAAGAAGACGTTGGAAAACTCCGACAGACCTTACCAACAGCAGCTAACATAGATAGAGATGAGCGGACACTAGAAGTCCAAGGCCCTACCAGACCACCAGCTAAATATGTTGACCTTCTTAGCCAGTAAAACTAAGGAGCGTGCACAGCAAACTGTTTGGAGAAGGATCCGCGCTTTCTGAGTGCACTTTCACCCAACTGCTTCGAAAGCCTCACGCGGAGCAGTACGCAACATCAGAAATTTGCACGAGTACCCAATGGCTCAGATCAATTGGAGACTGAGTGCAAATTGCATTCCCTACATGTTCCACATCGAAATCCTTGCTCTTGTACTGTAGCACCTCGCATGCCATACCAACTCTCGAAGCGAGTCCACGGCTCTTTTTGTGGGATGCTGCAGGTCTGGAATGAAGTTGCCAGTGGACTGCGGCTTTCTGACAGTATCCTTCCAAGCCGTGGTGATTGATTATGAGTCAAATTATGAGCCAAAAGCAGGAACACTGATCTCAGCTTTGTTTGAGGAGCGTCTGTTGGCCAATGCTTAGACAAGATCACGGAGATGGTGGAAACAAATTCCGAACAGGCCAAAAAACACCCAACTGTCAGAGACTGACAAAAGTCTGCAGTTGACTGATGTGCAGGTCGCATTGTTGAATCTGCTGTCGTCTACAATGCGATGCTCCAAAGTTGAACTTCACGCGTGCTTCGAGCTCATCAGCGTCGATGATGTCAGAGCTGCTTTGCCATGAGTTTGACGGTCAGCAGTGAGGCGCGGAGACGTTGGTTCACAGGTGTGACGAGCACGTTGCCGCCCACAGGATTGCAGATCTCTCAGCGACAAGGGCATGTAGCACATCTGCTTGCCATCCGTCATATCCGCTCAGTTGGAAGTCAGGTGGATGCCCTTCAGGCTTGTCAGATCTAGAGTGCATGTGTCAGATCGTTGCCAAGCACTTTCAACGTTCTGAAGTGTTTTGTAAGGGATTGCTGAGCGTCGACAGCGTTGCAGAGGTTTTGCCAGCGTTGAAGGACTCAGTGCAAGCTTGATATCTTAAAAGCCTGCTCCAAGTATGCCACACCCTGTCCGAGGAGGTCCTGGATGTGGGGAGCCTGCGGCAGAAGGTAATGAGACGCGGAAAATACACAAACAGCAACGCCAAGCAAAAGCCAGGCCTCGCAACGACGCCGGGCTTCCCAGATGCCTGAGCTGGTGGACACGAGTGATGGCCAGTGATCGAGAGAAAACGGCTTTGTAAGCCATTGTAACTTAGAGTTGCCAACAGTTTTTTGTTGCTTCAAGAAGCAAGGGTCTGCCTGAAAATCCCAAGACGGGATTTGGGATCATTATTGCCACAGACACCAGGGGAGTGTGGGGCACTCTGCGTGCAAAGTGAGATGTTCCCGTGATGCTGCTGTGGTGCCTTTTTGATGCCATGCTTGCTGTGTCGTCGAGTGTTCTTCCGCAGCTTAGCTTTCAAGGCCTAAGCAGGATCACGGCGATTTTGTCATTTGAGCCTTCCTGCGTGCCATGCATGCCGCTCAAATCCGCTCAATCACCGCAGTCTGTGGATTTGAAAATGAGTTTGTTGAGGTCGCGATTCGACATTGGCAAACTGTCCTCCCCTGAGCGCCCCCAACTTTGCTGGCACGCTCACATGTTTCTGTTTTGCTCCCAGGCTGCAGAGAGTCGCGCAGACTGGCACACCCTTAGTTGCAGGAGCAGCAGCCGCTTCGCTGTACTCAGCCAAACTCATCCAGGAACTTGTTTTTGATAGTCTGCAGGTGCGGAGGTGATACTGACTTAGCCGGTGGGTGCTCAGGTCCTGGCCGGCGGCGGTTATCTGGCTTCCAATTCAGTGTACACAGTGGATGCTGGCCACATGTCTTTGAAGGACTGCATGATACAATTGAACGAAGCTTTTGGTGACCTGTAACCACGAAGCCATGACAGTACAGCAGACTTTCCGGCGTCGGAAACTCCACGTACAGGGAGGGCCCGGAACCCGGTGACCAGAGCCAATCTTTTTTCAGCTTGTCAGCTGTCTGTAGTCCTGCGTTTGCAAGATTGTCTCGCTTGAGTCCGGCTAGGTTCTAGCATGCGGTGCCTCACGTTCCCACAAGCAGCAGGCGTGCACTTCATGATTCCGTGGCTGGAGCGGGCCATCATCTTTGATGTGCGAGCTAGACCGCACACCATGACTGGACCTCAGGGCCAATCGAGGAAGCCATTGCAGAGCATGATAAAGCAGGGTCACATGGGCAAATTGAGGACGTCACTCACAGGAAGCCGTGACTTGCAAATGGAGCCTCGAACGCATTACTGCATCAACATTTCAAGTGCCAACTGACGTCCTGGCCTGTTGCGTGGAAGGTCAACATTTCTCTCAGGGCTCTGTGTAAGTCAGAGCCTCAGCCGTTTGCGCAGAATCTGCTCGCTGCGTAGAAACCTCTTTTTCAGGCCGGACATCGCCAAGCTGCCAGACATCTACAGGTCAACAAAATGCTGATGCCGGGAGCGCAGGGCTTATCCTGTAGTCCAGGAACCTTGGCTTGGACTTTGATGAGAAGGTGTTGCCGTCCATCATCAACGAGGTTCAGCCGGGACCCCCTCGCTACAGGTATCTTCTCTTGTGCTCTGTGAGGTGTTGAAGAGCGTCGTGGCGCAATACAATGCCTCGCAGCTCATCACGCAGCAAAACGCCCAGACTTGCGCTGGTGTTCTCAGGTTAAAAGATGTGCCAGACTTGACCTTGTTATCGAGGCGAGAGCTCGTTAGCCGAATGCCGAAAGCTTGGTGGCATGAGCTTTGTTTACACACCTTCTCTGCGTTGTGCCTGGTGCATCGAGGATCAGACAAAGGCTCATTCAGAGGGCTTCCGACTTCGGCATTCTCCTGGTTTTCCAGACATGTTGTTGCAGTTTTTGCATTACAACCGATTTTGCAAAAAAGAAATAACTGCATCAGACTTCCAGACATGTCGTTGCAGTCTTTGCGTCGTTGCATTACAACCGATGCTGCAAAAAGAAATGACTTCAACCTGCAGACAAGTGCTCCACAATACCAATCTCGCTCGGGCGGCATCCACGGGTAACATCAGCTTTTTGTAGAGCATGTAAGGTTTGCAATCTGCAGTTGCCTCAAGCAAGCGATGCCAGGATGACGTTGCTATCACCCACTTGAACTTCAGCCCAGAGTACGAGAAGGCAAGGGCGGCGGAGAGATCTAGATTTTTGTGCTTTGGCTTCAGCTCGATTACGCGGCAGACCGCTGCATACCTCAGCAATCCGCAATGCGCCAAGTAGACGCGAGCAGATCAACAGGATATCCCAAGGGAGCAGACCACCTCCACTGAAGAACTTCTCTTGTGGATGTCCTGACTATGCTGGTCCAGAGCAAATGTAACCCACGAGGACTTTAGACTCTAGAGATCACAGATTTTCGTGTAGTCCTGCCGGGACGTAGCATGTGACATCGGGTTGCGGCAAAGCGCTTTGCCATGGCCCCCCGGGACAAGGCTGGCCAGAGCATGCCAGAGCACCATTGGGCGATCGAATTTAGGATTGTGTGCTATCTCCAGGAGCGCCGAAGTGCCAACCCAAGATCATCTGTCAAGCAGCCAGAGAAGCCGGGTCCTCACTTGACTCCAGCCAAGTGCTGTTCGGGTTCGAGTCTCACTGAGGAAATCTGGCGGTGGAGGAAAGTATACGCTTGGGAAGGCGTGCAAGCTTCTTGCCATTGAAAGAAAATCTTGACCGCAGCGGAGGCAGGAGATGAAAGATGGGGTTCTGCTTTGACGATCCTCGGCCAATGTAGGTTGGTGAATTGTAGCTGTGGGTGCCCCTACCACTTCGCGCATGAGTAGCACTGAGGAAAGAGGATCCAAATTACGACCCAGAGGCGATCATGGTGTCATGGCTCATATTCGAGTCATGCTTCTGTGGCACACAGCGCGCCGTGCAGGAAAGGCGGATTGATCCGGACGACGGATACTCCTATACATGGGACAAGTTGGCAGAATCTTGCAACAACAGAGGGCTGGGAGCACGCAAAATTGGTTAGTCTCAATTCCCCACTGGCGTATCTCAGGAGTTCTATCGAGGTAAGTACAAGATGAAAGCCTTGGAGGACTGGTCTGACCAGCTGTAGTGATTCCCTTGTGTGAGAGGTAAGCAGCCAACAAACTGCCCAAGGAGTACTGGGAATACGAGTGCAAACCAGCAAGGTCAAGGAGTCAGCGGAAACAACAAGCTGCGCAGGTGGAATGCCGAGTTGCATCTGCGAAGCCTTTGCAAGATCGAAGGCGCTATCTTTGCGCGCTGCATGTGAGGTCAGCAAGGATCCCACTCCTGCTGAGTCGGCAAAGCAGGCATCTGGTTTTGCATGCCGGCTCAAGCATAAGCTAAATTTATGGCACGTCAACGGGATTGTTTGATTGGGCCCGGACAGATCCGATGAAAGATACTGCTCCTTTGATGCTTTTGCGCACGCTGTAGACCTTCCAGTTCGCTCGAAAAAGCGCCTGCTTCTTGAGGGGATTACATCCAGTTCATCGGTGTTGTGAATGCCACCCTCTGCGATCTGCTTCAGTTGCAGAGAGAGCGGCAGGATTAGTTATGTGGACAGCCCTGATGCTCGCGGTACACGCGTTTGGTTCCTCTTGTGTGCTGTCGACTTGCACTTGTAATGATGGAGCCTTATTTGCTTCGCCCTTGGTTAAGCATCTTGGTAGGGGGTCAGGTATATGTTTCCAGAGGAATGCTTCTTAAGCCGTAGAAAGCCCCAGCAGTCCGAGTCTGAGCATCCCAAAGCTCCCCAAGCCTCCCGACCGAGCCCTTTGTGGATGTCAATGTATGAGCAGGGCAACCAGGCCTGGTGCAGCCGGAGCCTGTGTGTTGGCCCAAAATGACGACCACATTATGTTTTTCGTTTCGTTTTCCCGGAGATCTTGGTCGTTCTGGTTTGCAACGTCTGTTCTCCAAACTGAATCCGAGGAGCGGGTTAGCTGGGGAGGGTGGAGCAACTCCTGGAGCGAAATTTCGTTTTCTGTTCCATGATTTCATGCCCTGTGGAAAGAACCGAGTGAAAGGTCTCCAACGTGACACCAACCTAGGAATCTGCAAGAGATCAAGATGTCCCCGGCCAAAGCAATCCCCATGGCATGTTCACGTGTCAGGTGTCTGGGAAGGGCAAGGCGAAAGCACCGAAGGCGGAGCCCAAGGCAAAGCCAAAGGCCAAGCCGAAGGCAGAGCCCAAGGCAAAGGCCGCAGCCAAAAGGTTGCAGCTGGAGGACATGGAATCGGATGGGCCGCTGGCCAAGGCGCCTTGCAAACGGCAAGCGGTTTATGTCTTGATCGACGGGTGGAAGATGCAACGCAGCGCAGGAGATTGCCCTGCACATCCCCCATTTCCCTTTCAAGAAGCTGGAAAGGCACGAAGCCCTGCTCACCGCCGCGTGCATCGTGTGGACCCGTGAGGTTCTATGACATCCAGGGTCTTCTACAGCACCCGAAGCTCCTGAATGCAATGTGTGCAGGCACTCGCATAGATTTGCACAAGTTGCCTGAACACTCCATCACTCCATGTTTCATCAGTCTGGGCGAAGCGCTTCCGCAAGATGGGCGTGACAAAGATTTGTGGCTTCGAGGTGCCGCTGAAGCTGATAGAAACCTGGGAGATTTATTACTCTTGGCCGCAGCAAAGGTTTGACACACCTGGCTTTGCCCTGATAGGCGCGCGGCTTCCTGTTCACACCTGTATCCATCAAAGTGGGGGTACCCTTCGTGATGCTGCGCAAGGCTTGGAACTTGCAAGAGCCTGGTAAACTTGGGACGCTTTCTTCGTTTTCAGGCAGGAAAGATGCCAAACACCATCTCCAGCGGTCCATACACAAAGGACAGCGGATTCTGGTAGGCCTTCAAGTATAATTTGTGTTGCCAGACCTGACAGGAGTATGAAGGCGTGGACGAGATGTGTGTGCAAAAGGCTCCGCAGTCCTGATTTCTGAAGTCCCGGAATCGCAGCGTGCGCAGGGAGCCATCGTCAAGGGCGACAAGGTCGTGCTCATTGATGATCTGATTGCAACAGGACCAGCGTTTTCCAGCTGCTCTGGACGAAATAGCCGCTGATCCAGTTTTTCTGCTGCGCCAGGAGGGACACTCTGTGCAGGCATTAAGCTCATGGAAGCCTGCGAGGCGCAGTCTGCAAGCCTGCAGGCGCTCAGGGAAAGTGTTTGTGTCTCCTGGTTGTGAGGCGGAAGTGGTGGAATGTAGCTGCATGGTGGAGCTGAAGGTCTCCTCACCTGCCTGACGTGTTATGTTTTTTCCACCTTTTACATGCTGTGGCAGGCTTTGAATGGCAGGGAGAAGTGTTTAAAGGCCGGCGCAAAGTCTGTGACTCGACCTCAGCCTGATGCCAGCGTTGAGAGTGTGCTCAGAGATGGCGCGTAGATAGTGGATGCGAGTCTACGCGAGCTTAAGCTATTGGGCTCTTCTTGAGGTGGGGCTACATCTCCGAGGCTTCCTTCTTGTACGCCATGGATGTTGTGTGCCTGAAGCTGCTGCGGCTCCTTGAGACTGCCAGGAGCTGCTAACCACAAAGGCTGAGCTGCCTGACAACTACGTAGACGATGGCCGCAAATGAGCTGAGCACCAGTTTGAATGATGCTGGCCATGGCCGAAGATGGCAGTGTTGCAGCACTCGCAGTGCCGTCCGTAGCCTATCAATTTCAAGTGCCACTGGACGCGCGTGAGATGCTTTGATTCGCAAGCAGAAAAGTGGTGGCTGGCAGCAGTGCTCGGTCAGGCATGAAGATGCGTCCTGTCGTATGCATCAACTCAAGATTCGCTGAAATGTTTCTGCTGTGCAGGCTGTGGAGCAGAAACAGGTAGCACAACAGCAGGCTGAACGTGCTCGGTACCTGGTGTTGAAGGCACCCTCCTTGTCAACTGGTCTTGTACAATGGCACCCGTTCTGGGCAGCGGCACTTCTCAGACGCCAGGCCCAGGAGGAGAAGAAGCGAACCATCATTCACGCCGAGGGCGAAAAAGAGATGCTGCCTCAGATGATTCCGAGCCTGTTGGCCATCGGGCAGAAGCCGAAACAAGTACGAGCGCTGGCAGAAGCTTCTTCCGATTTGAGTTTGTTAAGGTCTGCTAGGATGATTGGAGATGCCATCAAGGCTGGGCGCCTAATTGCTCGGCGTCTGCAGGTTGTGGAACATGGCGTGGTACTTCCATCCCCCATGCATCTTCTCGAGGCTTCTTCCAGCATCTCTCCCGCGTCGCAAGCAAAATTCATTCATCTCTTGCACGAAGCCTTCAATCCCACATTTTCAAGACCACAAGACCGAAAACTTGTTGATACTACTTGTAGCCCTCGATCAGCTTGAGGATCTCAACAGTTTGCAATGGCTCCTGGTAAAGTCCTGGCAAATGCATTGAAATCAGTCGTTGCTCTCACATATGCACAAATCTATGGAGGCCCTTACTCAAGCAAGTTTTGTTGATATTGCAAACTTGCTCCGCCTACAAGTCAGGTCACTTTGGGACTCAGCAGCTCTGTTTAAAGCCATCGTGTACAGTGAGTATGAGAGAGCATTTCGAGGCCAATCCAGGCTTCGTCGAGCTCAGAAAGATTGCTGTCGCCAAAGATATCTCCAACTTGCTTTCCAAGTGTGTGTCTCAGGGTATCTCCTTGTTGATTAGAATCGTTAAGAGTTAATAGCTTCTCCCAATTTAGGTCTGCCAACCGTATGGTGCTCTCCACAGAGTCGCTTCTGATGAGCCTCAGCGATGACAGCGACGGGAAGGACTACGTACACTGCTGCAAGATGTTATCTTCTTTGGGCCAGATTGCTTTACAGTGGATATTTGCATGCTTGTGGTATCCCTGCAGGCTCCGACCAAAAGGAAGTGAGCGTAGTCTGGCGTAGCTTGGGCTGATTCGGCTTCTCTTAGCGCCGCTTAGGCAGTCGAACTATCACCCATCCTAAGACACTAGGTTTGCAAGCACTGAGCGATGTCAACCAGGGCCACGGTGCCTCTAGGCTCTGAAGCGATGCGGCTTCGAAACAGCTGTAGTACTGAGCAGGGAACTCTGCTCAAGTCCCTGTCAGCGAGTGCTGCCCAGTGTGAATGCACTGGTGGGTGGCCAGTGCTGGCATTGCAGAAAGATGCACAGCCGGGTGCCCAGCTGTATAGCAGCAGTCCTTTTTGTTTCCTTTGCAGTGTTTCTGAGGCAAGTCTTCAGCTGCAGCCAACTACAAGATTTGGCACGCATGCGGAAAAACAATCCTGATTTGGCTGCCATGGAAAGTCAAGTTGCCAGAATCAGGGCTAGGCGGAAAAGGCAGTATCGAAAAACACGCCAGGCTTACGCAGCTGCTCTGCGAGAGTCCGAGTCAAGAGCATCCTGGCTCCCACATCTCCAACGCTCAAAAGCTTCGCATGGACAACCTGTGCACTTTGGACCTTGCATCTTTAAATCTATCTCGCAAGGCATCGGGCTCTACAAAGAGTTCTCGCAGTGCCCCAAAGAGCAGATCAGCTCCACCAATCTCACCTATTGATCAGGCCCTTTGACACTTCAGAGAGCGCTTGATCCTTACGTTTGTAGAGGCCATCCAGCGAGAGCTCATCGGAGACGGCATTGCGCTGGAGGAGGTTATCTTCTGCAGGCCAGTCGAGCATTCAAGCGCATGTTTCTATTTGAAGGTAGTCGCCAACAAGAGATCCTCGGGGTGGGCTGTGCGCCAACGGCACTCCCTGCTTGCTTCCGCAGCCGATTTGCCCACAACAATGCTGCTACTTCCCCTCAAGGCAAGCCCAGCGAAACGACCTCGGCCATTTCTGCTACGGTTGTGGGCAGTTGCCTCGGTCCATGTGCATACCGGGTGGCACTACGATTCATTACGGAGCTTGCCACACAGGCATCCGCTCAGAGATCTGAATGAGGAGGTCACGGTCTGGACAGGCGCGGATGCCATGCCCGGACACATGTTGCGCTGGGGCCACGGGATACACAAGCTGAAGCCAAGTTTGAACAGGTAGTGATGTTGCATCTACCGAATGTTGTCCTAGAAGTTCCCGCAACAGTAAATGCTGAGACCTTGGCCACATTTGGCCACATTCGCAGCTCAAACTGACAGATGCGCGGCACGCGCCTGTTCATCTGCAGCCTATGCTGACACTTCCCCCTCTCCTGTTTGCAGAAAAGCCGGGAGAGCCAGAGCAGTCTCCGAAGCAGGCATCTGACAGATGGACTGCAAATGAGGATGAGATGTGATTCGATCGAACAGCAGGAGCACCAAGTAGTCCAAAGAACAAAAAGGAGCCCAAACTCTTGTAGCATGGCATTGCTTGCAGTCAGCTGCTGCTTTCGTGCTACTTGTAGCAGATGCTCAGTGACAGAAGTTTGCAGCATAAATTCGCTGAGAAGTAGTCCAGAATCGTAGCTGGTACTCCTGGGACGATGCCTTCAAAATCGCCAGGGAGGCCTTGAGTCGAAGCCCGGAAACTTTGAACGTTGCGAACCAGGAAACAATATTCCAAAGCCTCAACACCAGGAGTCTACTTTGGAGGTATCGGCCGACGGCCGACTCAGCCTGCTGTCTCATGTGGTGGAAGCAAAGCCTGAACTGAACATAGACACTTTCATATGTTGGTTTCTAGGCTTTCCGTTGCCGAACTTCCTGATCCTTTGTGCCAATTATGGCGAACTGCGTCGATCATTGACGGGCTTCAAAGGACCTTACCAGACGCTCTAAGTGGATGCCGTGTGCAGGTGCAGCAATCTACCGCCGTTTCCACCCTGCGCTTTTCTCAGCTTGGTCTTCCAGTAGCCCACTCTGCCCTTCAGCAGCTACAGTATTCAAACTACACGCGGTTCCCACCTCAGAATCGCAAGGAAGAATCCCGACAATTGAGGGCAAAGTGATGATTTACCATGCGTGCGCTGTGAGGCATGTGCGGCTTCCTACGTTCTTCGTGCAGACCTCTGACCTGTATCGCTACGTCTCTTTTCATTTAGGATACGCGCATGCTGGCGCCAAGGTGCTGACGGGCAGACTGCCATAGACGGGACCTTGACATCTGCACCACAAGATCTGGATCTCCACGATGGACTCGGATGTTCCATCTGCAGGAGCCGTGATCGCTTGCGAGATGATGTCGTAGAGGGTTATGCAGATGGCTGGCGGGCAGCAAGAGCGCTGGAGCCTCAGGGCGGCAATCCCAGGGACTCGTTTGATCTTGAGTAATGCTTCTGAGTTGAGGCCCGTGAGGCCCGTGGAGGCCGCCAGGCAGTGGCTCCTGTCTGAGGCCTCGGTGGAGACGGGCAGAAGGGGACAACTTGAACAGTCTTTTGGTTAGCGTGCAGGGAGGGCAACCTCCTTTCAAGCAAAGGATGCTATTGTCACAGATCAAGGTGTTTGGTATTAACATAACTGGAGGCGCCTGGCATCTGTCAACGGGTCTTCTGAAACGTACGGAAAATCGGAGGGTTTGCGGGCCAGCTCGGTCGAAAGGGCTGGGATACAACTAACAGGCTTGTGTAACGCAGTGTTTGTGCACAACTACGAGTACAGTCAACTTGCCGACTGCCGCAGGCAGAGCGGACAAATGCTACTCTTGTCTGACCAGACCCACTGCTGCATGCGTATCAGACGCAGGGTTCATCAGAGCGTTCTTCCTCGAACCCATTCTATGGGAAGCATCAAGCTCCCATACAACGTGCCACATTTATTGGAGGGACATTTAAAACGATTGGATTCCAACGCTTTTAGCAGGTGTCCCCCGGGGAATTGGAGATGACCAAAGCAGAAAACTGTGTGCCCAGGACGATTTGTTCGATTGCCAGGCATCCAAAATAAACAAAACGGACTATTCGGACAATGATCAGCAAAAAGCGCTTTTGCACAAAGCATGCAGAGCAAGACGTTCTTGCTAGCGTCGTGTCAGAGGGCAATCCTCGGTGGTTGGGAGGGAGGCTGAAGAGGGGACACTGAAATCGTTGCGATTGAACCTTGTGTATCCTTGCATGCTCTCCGCCGTCTTGGAGGACCAGCGTGCCTGGGGTTCCCTTCGCGGGGATCTTTTCACCACCGTGACGGTCAGAGCCTCTTTGCGCAGTGAGTTCAAATGGCTATGGAGCACTGTGGAGCAGGTTAATGAAAACGGCAAGAAGAAGGCTCAGCCAAGCCTGATGATAAAGTAGTCCGGCACGACGAGCTGCTGAGGCAGTTCCAGGACTTTCCCACGAGCAGCTGCGAATTCTGCAGACGAAGCATAGGCAGTGACCCCAACAAAATGCCAAAAGATGGACACGTTGTAATTACAATTGCAGGTGGCAGCCAGATGTCCCTGGCTCAGGTGAAGGCTTTGCAAGACCGTTGCGCAGCAGCCAGGTAGGCTTGCTGAGAAAGTCTGGTGGCAGGCGAGGAACCCCTCGAGTGCGCCGTTTGTTTCGGTGCCTGATGCTTAGCTATTCCTGTTCATTGGGAGTATCAGAGTGGAGCCCGTGAACACGGACGAAACTTGACCGCGAGCAAAAGCAAGGCTCCAGACGCTTCAAGTTGCGTAAGGCGAGCAAGAGTTTCTGCACCTGCGCTTGTTGGGTTTTGTACTAGACGCGCAAGCTAAAAGAAGCACCTGGAAATCTAATCGGATGTTGGATCCACAAGCAGGAATCCAATCTCATGGTTGTCTCATCTCTTATTGCTGAGCCGCTAGTGGTCGTGCTGGCAGCGGCGGCAGCAGCAGCAGCAGCCCAAACACCAGCTTCAATCCCAACCCACCCCAAACGCCCCACCCCATCAGAATGACCCACCCCATCCCGACGCCCCATCCCCACTTCCCACTCCAACGCCCCACCCCACCCCGCCCCACAAGGGAAGCTCAACATGTCAGCCAATTGTTGAGCTGTTCATATAAGAGGACCGCTGGTGGTTCGGCATGCGGTGTATTGAAGTATACTGAGACCCGCATGACGATCAAAAGGTGTGATCATGTACTTGCTCAAGGTTTGGGATTTTGGTTGATTTCTTGCACCATGTTCCGTATTGAAATGGGAAAGCAGCAATGTGGCCCCTGCACACTCACACCACCCCAGCCCACACCCCACCCGACACCCCACCCGACACCCCACCCGACACCCCACCCGACACCCCACCCGACACCCCACCCAACACCCCACCCCACCCCACCCCACCCGACCCGACCCCAACCCAACCCACCAGGATCGGATCAACAAGAGCACCAGGAAAATGCGCAAACGGATGAGAACAAGCTCCAAGCAGAAACAAACACAATCAACATAGCACTGGAACAAAAAAAGCAAACCCACCCGCCAGAAATAGCATCAGAGAAACATAAAAAAGCAAGCAGGTCAAAAGAGCACCAGGAAAGCACAAGCAAGCAGGCAAAAGTGGCAACAAACCCAATCAGAGGATGAGCTCGGAATCTATAAGGAGGTTCGTGCGTTGCTTGCATCTTTATTTACTTTAGCACCAGCAAATGCAAACAGCGTCACCAGAAGACGCAGCGGAATGAACACAACACAACTCTAACTAGCAAGCACGCTGACCAGAAATAGCACGACAGAAGCACAAAAAACATAATCAGATCAAACCCGATGTGGCCAGCCACGACCACCAGCCCAGGAGCAGCCCAGACCTTTTTTGAAAAGTCGCGCGCGCTCCCGCAACAGATACTTCAGGTGCATCTGTGAAGTTAAAAATTAAAGCGTCTCACCTCGCCCATCGATGAATTTCAAAGGTTAAGGCTTCGGGGTTAGAGTTTGGGGTTCGAGAGTCCACCTAACCCATACTGATGTGTTTCTCCCTGGCAACTATTAAGCCCAAGTAAGTTTCGAGCATTTTTCTGGTGCTCTGTTTGGTGCTTGTGTTTGCGCACCATGGCAGGGGTGCGTGTCCTCCAAACTCGAGTGTGTTTGTGTCATGCCTTCGGTTGACTTGTTTGACTTTTCCATGTGATTTGTATCTGTCGGAACGAAAACGTCGCAGGCTGCCATGCGCGCCCCAACACGTGTTTCACTTGAGCTGCGTTCTCCCATGGCTGAAAAAGGTGGGGATGCAAAGCTGTGCAGTTGAAAAGTGACGCTGATTTGAAAGTGTGGTCAGGCCTCGCTGTGCCCTACATGCCGCAGAGACCTGCGACCGATGATCAAGTAGGCACAGAGCAGCGCATGTCCATAGCATCCAAGCTCCCAAGTCCTCCTCGGCAGAGACCATGGAGGATTCGCGGAACATGTGGCTTCAGGGTTCCTACCTGATGACGTTTGCGTGGCAATGCCGAAGGCTGCCGAAATCCAGGCAGTCTGGGTGCAGGCGAAAAGTGTGCTTGCATCATCATTGCGCGTCGAGACATTGACGTGCTTACGTTCAGCATGTGTCAGGTGTTTGATTGGCAGCAATTTAAAACTTGCAGAACTTTGTCATGCAACGCCGGCATGCGCAAGTTCTACGATTTGAGTTTCTTGGGATTTGTAGTTGCCTACCCCCCAGCTTCAAGTAGGTAATTCAGGTGGGTAAGACATCCCAGTGGCTGTGCACGCGAATGTCCCGGGCGCAGCCTCCCTTCGAGGCCTATTAACAGAGTGCTTGAAATTTTAGATTCAAGTGGCCTTGCTGCAGCCAGCGTAAAGCCGACCGAGGCTCGGAAGGATGCTCGCCTGGCAGAGGCATCGGGCAGGGCTTGCTGGGTGGATCTCGAAGCTGAGCCGCTCAAGGCGCTGCGTGAGGCCAGGGAGCTGCAAGAGGCTCGTTTTGCACTGAGGATTTATACCCTTTCAGCCTCAGGGCTGCTGAAGCAGGAAAGGTGCGCAGCGTGCATGAAAACAAATTGTAAAGGTATGTGGAGGTACTGCCCCTGTAAGTTGGCACGGGAGGAATTGCAGCTGGAAGGGGCAGACCTGGCTCAGCTGCGCATCGAGGCACCAGAGCGTGCTAGATGCTGTTACCGTGAGCCTTGTGTTCTTCAGGCGGATCTTGCCTTAAAAGAGAAGCAGCGCTGGGAGCAGCAACTCGAGGCGGGAGGGAGTATCCTCTGTCAGTCTGTGGAGTGCCTGACCGTACTTCTTGCATTCACACTTGCTGTTCTGGCAGTTTGCTTGCCCTCGGAATGTAGAGCAGGTCTCCCGAAGCTGCGTGCAGCTCCTCGGAAGCAGCTCTGCCGAGTTCAGCTTTGGTTGACAGACTGCAGCCAAGGAAGTTAGAAGCACGACTCTTGCAGATCCGACGGATAAAAGCAGAAGGGAACCTGCAAACACAGGAGGCTGATGCCGCCAATGGCTGAAGTTGTGCTTTCGAGACTACTGTGGAGTCAAGCTTGTGGCCAGAGATGCATGCGACATGTCTCAGAAACCTCATCTGCAGGCGTACTGGTTCGAAGTGGCTGCAAAGCAGCGAACTGCAACCAAGCCGGATCTTAGGTGCCACAAGCAATGATTGCCCAAGGTCCTGTTCTTCCAAGCGCTGCTCTTCGCAGCAATGGAGGGAGTACTACCGGTGGCTATGGAAGGAGCCCACGATCAGGCAAGGAACTTCAGAGCCCCGAGAAGCGTCCATCGGTTCCTCGCTACCGTTCCGCAATGTTGGATGCATCTCCAAGGAGTACGACATCTGGCAGAAGCAGTCCCGAAGCACGAAAGGCCCAAGCTGCAAAACAAGCACGGCGCCAACGTACAGCGATGCTCATCTCGGACCGCACTCCAAAGGCCAAAGAAAATGGCAAGTTTGACCACTCAAGAACGGCAATGTTGATGGCCAACAAATCCGTGGAAGATGATGGCACGCAGTCCACAAACAGCTTGTTCAGCATGATGCAAGGCAAGGTCAAAGGTTTGGTCGAGTCGGTACGCCCACGCTAGCTGATGAGACTGCAACACTGGCCTTGGCATTCTCGGGCGCGAGGTGGAGTCCTGGCAACCTGCACAGCAGAGATAGTGCGGCAGTTTGCCATGTCCTCGCCAGGAAGTGCGCTGACAGGTAGAGTGCCGCAGAATTCGTGATTACACAGCCTCCTTGAATTGGATGACTGGAAACGCTATGAAACGCTGATGGCTGGTGGGTGTGAGCATCTGGCTTTCGAGTTTGGTGCACTTTGCCGGTGCTGAGTTTGGCATCGCAAGACGCCCGCCTGCCAGCAGAGAGGGACAATCCTGCGTGGCTGCACAATGTCACCAATAGCAGGGTAGCCCTGACACTGAATAATGCCTTTATGACAGACTGCGCTGCAGACCGGAGAAATCTTCAAAAGACCAAGTCCATTGCACGTTGCTCATTCTTCTTGCTCTTTGACCTTGCTGCAGTTGCATGATGTAGCTTGCCAGGCAGACCGCCGACTCTCTGCGCAAGTCGAGGACCTGCTGAGACAGAAAGAGAGGCTCTTACAAGAACGGACTGCTGGAGCCTGATTTCGCTCTCAGCTGACTCTGCGCTTACGGGATATCCGCATTTCGAACCTGCCAAGGCATTGGAGCAACAAGCTGGAGAGCACCAGCGCGAGGCAGTCACAAATTGCCAGGCTTTGTTGCGGAAGCGCATTGCACAGGTTCAAGCACTGAGCCTTGCCCTCAAGAAGTTCTTGCCAGTGTCGCAGGATGCGAAGGAGCGGATTTGACAGTTTGCTTCAGATTGTCAGGTATTGACAGCATGTTCTGCTTGTGGCAGGCACCCTCAGACTGGCTGCTGAAGCAGGTGTCATGCACATAGAATGTAGACATGCGTGTACTTCTACTGTTTTGACGGGGAGCCCTTGTGGCCAAGCCGTGGACAACCAGGACCTGACGCGCTCCAAGCATGAGGTGGAGGCCCTTTCTCATCAGCTTCACAGGGTGTATGCTGCTGCCAGACCTTGTGAGGGGCCTCGCTTTTGCTTGTGGGTGCTCTGCAATTTTGTTTGTGCCTGGGCGGCCTGGTTTTGATCTGCAGTCTGGGATTTGGTGTGGTTGCCTGGAGTTCTGAGCAATTCGGACGTTCCTTTCGAAGTGAGTCGTGGTCATAGCGGCGCACCTACCTCAGCGTGCAGCAGTCGGGTTTCATTTAACTCTGGGGTGTGTGAGGGCGCGACGGGAGGCGGCACTGTCGGTACTGTTGGCACAACAACCTTGGCGTCAGCACGTGCTGCCTCAGCCAACCTTCCAGCCGCAGCGCATGGCAGCGCTTGTCGAAACTCTGCAGCCTGAGCCTTTGGAAAGCTGCTCAAAACCTTGGCTGTGCTCAGAAGCAAACCCTGTGCGCAAAAATGCGTGCTAGCATACTCTTCAATAAATCTGCCGCTTCCACCCAGAGGTTCCCTAGGTTTGCACGGGCGGAGTCATTTCTCCACCGGACCCGTTCGAGGCATGGGTCCTGTATTCTGTAGTTTCACATGTCCTCTTGCGAAGCGATCCAGTTTTCTTTTCAGAGGGGCTACCAACCCCAACGGCAGTTTGTAAGTCTCGTGTCTTCCACCGACACTGGTGGGACCCAGTCTGGTGTTAGGGTTGCCCCGCCCAAGTGTTGGGCGCATAAGCTGTTGTGATCTGATAGCAGCTTGTGAGGTATATATTTCCCATGCCACGGCCAAATCTAAGAAGCGGAGTTTTGAGATACAAAGATACAAGCAAAGTCAATATTTGCACCAACACTGGGCTACATTACCTACAGCCTGAAGTGTGCTGACCTGGGGAACCTACACTACAGGTACGTGCAATATGAACAAGCACAGACTCCTCAAGGCCTGCTGCTTGCCCGAGCCTCACGGGCAACGGCGGTCACAACATGAAGAGTTCGGTACATTGTTCAGAGAAGGAGGCTTCAATACTTATTGTGATCTTCACCACTAGAATCAAAATTGTTGTTGGTGTCGTTGTAAGTGTCGTTGTTGCTGCTGCTATTGTCCAGCTTTTTACTGTCAATAATTGATATTTTTCTTATGCTACTGCACTGTGCCTGTTTCTGCGCGCATCTATCCTTGCTTCCATCGAGACAGATTTGTGTCGCATTGGTTTTATGGCTTCCGAAGTACCAACAGATTTTCCCAAAGTCCTTGTGGATTTGCTTCGGAAAGATTCCAAGAATTCTAGCTTAGGGAAGCGCACGAAGTCTCCAACAGACACCGTGAACGAAGCAAAACAAACTGTAGCAAATTCATGCCAGGCGTATCGGCAGCAGCAAGATGCTGCCAGCGCTGCCCTCACCAAGCATGACGTATAATTTCATTGTTTGGAGCTCATAAGGAAATCTGTGATTGGGGCACAGCTCGACTGTTCTGTAAGGTGCAGGTCTCCTTGACGCTAAAGCCAAGCAGAAGGCATGTGCCATTTCTGTTGCAATATTTTCTGCAGCCACTGGCCGCTCTCCCTCGAGGCAGTCTCTACAGAAGTTGAGCAATGCCGGCAACTCCTCGAAAGTACTGCTGAACAGCAGGAGCAGTGCAGCAAGCAGGCTGGACAGTGATGGTGGAGCACCAAAGTCGTATAGCGAAATGTCAATATTGTGGAGGCAGAGTCCTTGCGAGCAGCAGCGCAGGAACTTGCAGCAGAGGTGCTTGAGTTGTTTCATCTCACGGCGCGTCTCGAGTTGGGAAAGAGGTGGCCGCAGCAAAGAAAGAGGAGGCAGCCGCGCGAGAAGAGGTGTTGCAGTTGCAGTCATGGGTTTACGGCCCATGGTCCCACTAAAGTGCGTCCCAGACAGGCAGCAGCAAAGAAGCAGTTGTATGCAGAGCGTTTCGCTCTCAGATGCTTCTTCTTCCAAGTGCAGTGAGTGATACGTGGCCCTCAGAGCAAGGATCTACGGCGCTGCGCAAACTGCAGGCCTGACCCGATCTAATTGTCTATCCAATTGCCTGAGGGTCTTTGCGTTCATCCTAGCTACGATACTTTTCGGGGGGCTAGGCGCATGCCGATCCAGATTCTGTTTTCTTTTCTCAAAGTCTTCAATTCCGAGGCCATTCTACAAAGGTTTGGAACCTTGAGCTCGCATAGTGGCCCTGAACCCCATGGAAGAATCGGGGCAACGTTCGGAGACGGCGTTGTCACCTGTCCCCTCGTTGGTTCTTGTTTTGATCGTGCGACGGGAGGTTGCCAAAGCAGAGCTCCTCAGGCAAATCCGGGAGCTTGAGGTGCCCGGTTCATAGGCCCAGTCTCTTGAAATCAACGGAGTCAGCAGGCTGCGCTGCTGAGGGCACGTGGGGAGCTGACTACAGAGAAGGCCACGACTGAATCCTGAAGAGTGTGCACCCGTTTCTGGGCTCCATGGTGCCTTGCAAAGAGGCTGCACGCAAGGCCTGGAGTGCAGAGCTTGATGCCGTAACCTGAGGAACCGAGTTGCCAGAAACAAACGGGAATGTTTACGTCTCGCATCTCTGAAGTCTGCCCAGATTCGATGCGGACGCCTGCGTGCGGAGCTCGAAGAGCACGCCGCGCAGCGATTAGAGGCCAGGTGCATGAGAGGTTGCGCATGCGAAAGCGCATACGAAACACTGAGCACGACTGAGCGGGCTTGCAAGCGGCAAGGGTATGGAGGAGAGGGCGGCCCAGGAAGCCGAAAATGCCCAGCTTGAGGCATGGTTTGGTGTTTCTTCCTCAGCCACATCCAATTCAAATTGCTTGGAGCCTAAGGCCAGCGCTGCACGTGTGGCACTGCAGCTGAAGGCAGATGAAGAAGCCAGGGTGCAAATAGAAGCCTAGGCCTCTGACAGAGCTCGTCGCGCTAGTGCCAGCATGTAGGATGGGGCACTGTAGGCGAAATTGGTATCAAGTATGCGGTTGGCGGAGCACCAGCAGTATGAACTGCGGGCGCAGGCTTCCTGCTTGGCGATTGCAGAGCGCACTGCACCTTATGAAATCTGCTTGAGAGGAGATGATGGGTCAAAATCTTGCTGCCGAAGTGGCCGAAGGGCGGCGCATGGAGCAGGAGACACTCTTAACAGCTTATGATCAGTTGCGAAGATTGGTGATGGTTGTGCTACATTCAGTGCTACAGTATGCAGAAACACAGAACGCAGTCGGTCCTTTTGGGTGCTGGCAAAGTTAAGGCTGCAGCGCTGGAAGGTTGTTTGTATGTGCACAACTGCTTTGAAAAAATGCTGCGGAGGATTTGCTGCTGCTGCTGCTGAGCTGCGACCAGGAAACCATTCGCAAAACAAACCTCTATCCTGAAATTGCAATGATCTTTAAGGTCACGAGCAGAAACTTGCCCAGCCGCCTTGAAGTCCAAACCTGCAAACAGGTGGCTATCATATCAGTCGCTCAGCATGGATCAAGTCAGGCTTCCCAAAAAGATGCAGAGTGCAACGCGCCTTGCAGAAGATTTCATATATGCAAGGGAAGGGCACGGTGTTTTGCGGTCATTTATGATGATGTTCCTTCAGATTCAACTGCTTACCACAGCGGAGCGTTCAGACAAGATGTCTACAGAGACTGACAGGTCTTGAAGTTGAAATATTGTTCGTAGCATCTGAAACCTGGCATCGGCTTTTCATGCTGCGTTTAGTGCTGTGGCGGCAGACCCTTTAGCAAATCTGTTGATCATCTGAATGCTTGGCGAAGGCTCTGAAGTCAGAGCTAAGCCGCGAGCGCGCGCTGGCAAAGGAGGCGTGCGGCACCAGTTGGCCTTGACTATACGTTTGGGGAAAATGGAAAGTCTTTACGCGCAAAGAAATCATGTGACAATGTGAATGTGGCCACTGGGGCCCCGGGCGGCTGTGAGGCCAGCAGCGAGGCTGCGGCTCTTCTTCAGCAACGCCAGCGCAAGGCGCTTGAGGCTGAGGAGGCGCCGAGAAGTCGTGTCGTAAAATGTCCGTATTCAGAACTCCAGAATGCGTCTTTTGACCCACTAAGTCTTAAAATCTGGGAACTGAGCAAAGCTGAGCAAAAGTGGACCACCGGTGTTCTGTGGGATACACGTAGCAGATCGCTGCAGGCACTCCGGCAGTGTGATGCAGCGTTGTCAGCAAGCAGGGGGGCAGAGGAGGCGAGTCTTGTGTCGCAGCCCGCTCGGCTCTCCTTGATGCACTTTTCAGGAGCTGCAGCAGCGTGAAGATCAGATTCAGCAGTCTGCGAGGCAATGTCTTAGTCCAGGCTTCAGGTCTTTTCTGCCAAGCGCGGTTCAGAATTTGCAGAAGAGATCTTGGTAGATCTTTCTTCACTGAAACAGCCAGGTCCTCTGAGCTAATGCACAAGACCTTGGTGCAAAGACTCTCCACCGTACATGACCAGGCTACGGCAGTCGAATGCACATCGTTTTCCTTCTAATTTGCGACCCAAGAGAGAGAGAGAGCCGCGGAGGTGCGAGTGGCCGAAGATGCTCATGTCGCTCAGCAAAGCTAGAAGGTTCCAGGACTTGATTCAAGGATGTAAGCTGGCCTGTGGCCAGCTTCCATTTTTACTGAAAAGGTTACCCGCACGCAAATTTAAAGCACAGCTGCCTCCTTGGGACTTCTGCCTGTGGCTCAGGCTGCGGCGCTGGCAGAGCTGCGCAGCGAGCGCCATGAGCAGTCCAGGTGAGTCAAAGCGGCTTCACGTGTTTCCCGAAGCGAATCGAAGCGATATCAGCGTAATCAAAGATCCTGCCAAGATCTGCTCGCAGACTTGTAGGCATTGTAGGCATGTCTATGATGCATCGCAGAAGAAGCATCTTCTCTCCAGACTGTTGCCTGGCCAGGCTGAACCAACGACTCCTAGCTGAGACATCGCTGCTTGTCCAAAGTTTGCATTGACACGTTTCGCCTGAATATGCTGTGGGGAAGGAAACAGCGCGCGCTTCTTCTGCCAGGACGGCCTGGCATCTATGTCGTAAACAAAAAAACACTGCAAAGCAAGCTGTCCAACAGGAGCACGCCAACTGCTTGCAGATGCCAAATAGATGGGAGCCAAGCCACCAGGAAGCTCTCTCTGCTGGCGTACGTCCTGCTTGATACCCGCAGACGGATCGCTCCTCACCAGGAACGAGCACAAAACCATCAGAAATATGGGTAGAAGCACTGCAAGGAACAAGACTCCATGCGTTACATGGTCTTGGACAGCTTCATCATCAACATCCTCTGCTCTGTCATCAGCATCGCAGGCAGAAAGGAGAATAAGGGGATCAGGACGACTGGAGATGGAGGGTATGCTGATCCAAGTGGTTTACAGCCAAAGGCAGCCCGACCTGCTCTCGCGCCGATATGCGCCGATTCTGCCGGTGTCCACACAAACGCAAACAAGATCACTAGCCAATGCACCGAGCACCCTGGCTGGCAGTGCTGAAAATGCGTCAAGGTTCTGCTACGAATGCTTTTGCTGAAAAGCCGGTCATTGCAAGCGCAAGCAGTTGCTTTGCTGAAGAGCCACTCTCATACTTTTTGCAAAAGTCATAGGGGCCCATGCTTCTGTGGTAATGCTGGTAATGCTAGTACACCGGCCTGACCCAGGGAGCTAGTCTTGTTGGTCATAAGGAGTCATACCCTTGCATCATATCAATCATATCCTAAAAACCCCTAAGTGGGTCAATATTCAGTTTCTTGCTGCTTGGTGGGCCGTGCGATGACTCCTGAGCGATCAAATGAAGCTTGGGGGAACAGCTGGAGGTGCAGGGAGCTCCCTACAAATGCCCGTGGCATGGAAATACGAATGCTTTCTGGAGGCTATCTGTGGAAGGCCGTGGGCATGTCTTTGTACATTCTCAGCCGTGGCCCAGCAAGACGGCAACACAAAGCCAAGTGTCAAAGATGGACAATGAGGCGGCCTGGCTGAGGACGCTGGAACAGCGCATGTCTCGAGTGGATTTCTTCCCAACAGGCATGAAATCGCCATCAAACTTCTCAGGTAGAGGCTGCCTGGCCTCAAATCCCCATCCTTCTGCTACTGGCTTAGCAGCTTTAGCATTGTGCTCAAGTTCAGGTCCTCACGCCTGCTTGAAGAGACGTCTCAGACATGGCAAGGCCGAGCATTGTCGGCCCGCTGAAACCCTCAGAGGACTAAGAGCAACTATGCAAGTGCTATTAAGGAAGATCTTGATGTCCGGCAGCGGAAAAAGTAACGCAGGAGCCACCTCGATTTGAGGATGTGAAGTTGTCGACCTGTGTGTCCGCAGCTCGGTCTACAACCAAGTTGATCGTATGGACTGGTGGCTTGGCGCGAAGGTCAAGATTGCAGGCTGCTCTTTCTGCCAACATCACGAGGCAGCGCAGCTGCCTATTCCTCAGTCGTGGGAGCTGATAGAATCAGAGAGGATCCTGGACCTGGTGACCAATCGGCTTCAGCGAGATTATTTGCTCAGTTTGCGCAGGAGTCCTGGCAAGCAACCATCGTTGTGCTTGTAGACAATTGAGCAGTGACAGACACCAAGTTGCCAAGAGGCGCTGGTCTTCATCACCTCAGCCAGCAGGCAACCCGGTCAGCCTGCCAAAGCGGGATCACTGCGGAGGATGGAGCTCATATTGCGGCTATGTGGGAAGACGGGTGCTACACTACGACCTCCAAAAAGACGCGCAGAAGCTGAGGTCCTTGGAATCAGTGGCATTGGCCAACGACTGCTGGCCAGATGAACTAACTGAGCAAGGCACTTGGTGCTGCGCAGAACTCAAAGCAAAGAACTAGAGAGCTTCCCTGGCAGCCTTCAAGACGGCTGTGTCCCAGATGAGACAGCTGGTCGATGCTGGGCGTGTGAATGCTGGATATTGCAGCTGCCTCGTGGGCCGACGTGTCTTCACCCTCAGCTGCGGCAGTGCGAAAATCCCGTTACGTTAGGTCCGTTCACCGGCAATGAGCAGACAACTCTGGGCGGGTCCGAGGCGGCTGTGAGACCTGCTTTGAAGGTACCTCCACTTCCCGGCACTGATAAAGCTTGAAGGTCAGCAAGCTCCTGCGGAAGTTTGCCAAAGTTAGACCTGGAGCCAAAAAGGAGGCGCTTTGTACAGCTTGGAAGCTTGCTATGGAGGGCAGTGCTTCGCAAGAGTTCTTCGTGTGCAATTTGCACCCCTTTTGATAACTCGGAAGTCGCAGGCCAGAAAGCTGGGTCGTGTGATCGGGAAACTACTGCGAGAGGTTGCCTGGTCTGGTTCACGTTTTCCTGGAGTTCGGTGCAGTGTTGCTGGAAGGTGCAGGAGACAGGAAATGGCCCAGATCCTGCCGGAGCGGTTCCGGTTGACTGGGAGATGCTCTAACCTCAGAATCCTCAGATGCAGGTGGGGAGTGCGGCGGTTGTTGTTTAATGGGCAATGCTATGCAAGGAGGGCCGCAATGTTCGGTGGCTCCATCGAGTTGTGAAGCTCCACAGCATCATGCCAGTGCTGGCGCAACCTCTCTGCTGTGTCCTTGTTTGTCCATCTATATGGAGATTTGCAGGAAGTCCTCTCTGCATCCAGATGAAACAGCATCTTATGACATGAGAGCTCCAAGCTCGGATCATCTTCGTCCCAATGCGCGCAAGAGCTCAGCAATTGCAAGATTGTGTGTAGAAGCTTGCCTGAACTCTTCAAACAGAACTGTCAAGCTATGTTCAAAGGCATGGCGGATGGATGCTCTTAAAAAAGAATCTCAACCCTGGAAAGCTGAACCTTGTCTTGATTGCGAATTCTTCTGAGTTGACATTCCAATTTGTTGAGCTGATTGCGGCGAGGGTGGGCCCACCTGCCTGGTCAGATCAACATTTCCAATTTTTGAGTTTACAATCCGCGCTTCAAAAAATACAAAATATTTCTTGAGCTCATTTGCACTACGTATATATGGGCGGACGTCGAAATACCATGTATATCCATGTATGTAAGATATGATAGAAAGGCGGTATGATGTTGCGTTCTTGCCGGCTTAAGTTTCGCTGAAATGCAATGCTATACGTGTACATAAGCTTCCGGCTCTCCCCTATATAGGCACTAAACTTGCTAGATGCTAGCGCGATTACGGAACTAGATAAGATTTTAATCCCAAGGCCTATGATAATAGATTCTGAAAGATGATATGATTTTTAAGGATATTTGGGCGCGGAAATCCTCATAAAAATGATCGTATTGATCACAAAACTTTTTCGAAGTTCAAAGAATGGTTATTGAATGAAATACTTAGATTCGTTATAATATATATTCTAGATAATCTAAATACGTATTATTGATATTAAAAAGATATATTTCATGAAATTTAATAGATATTAGATTGTCGTTGATATCTATTTATTATAATTATTAGGAATGAATCGTTATAATAATTGAAAATATTTCATCGAGATTATTCGTAGTAGAAAATAATTGATTGAGGACGTAAGATTTGGAAATTTGTCTGGGTATATGCGTGTTTGTAAATCGTATAGGTAATTGGAATAAATTAAATAATAGGAGAATTTTGATCGCGGGTCGTTAAGGAATGCCGGCCTTTCTTTTTCATTTACTTCGATAATTCGTGAGGGCATAAAAAATTAATATAAATGGGCACAAACACTCTCTTCATATGGCTATCGACCGATCGTATTATTTTAAAAATATTCTGGAAATAAAGAATTATATCTCTAAAATTTATGAGATTTTTGGGCGCGCCATTTCTCTTTGAAATCTCGAAAGATTATAGAATTTCTAGCAAGGGGTCGAATGCGAATGAAATGAATATATTATAATCTTGGCATAATGAGAAATCTTGATATATCTGCGCGGCAGATCGGAATATTAAATCTATCCGCGTGCATAGATACGACCGCCCTATATTCTCTTTTATGGATCTATGCGTTCTACTAAAATGAATGGGCAGGCCACTACGAAATTTCTTCTTATTCATTTGAAGAGTCGCTTCCCTATTTGAAGAGTCGCTTCTTCATTTAATTATAATTGATTCATATCTAATATATTACTCATGATATTGGAAAGAGAAAAACGTCAAAGAGATATAAATCATATGGAAATCTGCCCCGGAAATAAGGATTGCGCGAAGAAAATATCTCTGGGATTTATTGGTCGCGTAACCCCCACTAAAAATCTCGGAGATTTTAGAGCTAGATATTTTTCCAAAGGATTTTAGAATCTCCAAGATTTTAGAGCCCCTAGGAAGCCCGCAGGAGGCGTTCTAGAGATGAACCGGAAAAATAAGGTTGCGCGCGAGCGAAATGATCCCAGATGGTCGTGCCGTATTATTGAGACATATAGCCATCTAAGATATCAAATAATATTAAGAAATCATAGATTTTGAAATATATTTTAAAATATATATTTGCGGAAAGACCCTCAATTGAAGGTCCTAATAGATTTGGAAAAGGATTTCAAGAAGATATGAGAAATGATATTGAATTTCTAGATCTAAAGGAATATTCTAGATCTTCCTTCTCTTTTTATTATGAATCAATATTATTGATTTCTAGAAGAATTATTTTTTTGAAAAGAAGAATATTCATAATCATATAGATATTTCTATTGCTTCCTCCGTATTCCGTTTACGAATATTTTCTTGGAATGAGGTTCTCAAATATCTATGATTTTCTATAATATTGATTTTATATATCATCCGCGTTGTCGTAGCGTCTAGATTATATTTCTAGAATATTTCGGATTTTTTTGCCTGAGATCGAAAAAAATGAAATTTCTGTATCTGCTATAGAAATAATCTATCAATAAATTATTTATCTATTATTAATTAGACGTGATATTAAATTCATCTGGCATTAGTCTTGATGGCGGCGTTGGAGGCGGAAGGAACGGCGATGGTCGTGGCGGCAGCGGTGTCGATCGATATAATGAAGGCGGGGAAGGGAATGATAACGATAGATGGGGTCGGGAGAGCGGGGGGCGGCAATGACGAGGGCACGGGATCGCGGACGAGGGGAGGATATAGAACGATTTATATATAATATTCTTATAGAAATAAAATTGAAATATAATTAGGGATGAATATATATTTTTATATGACGGGGGCGGCGGCAAGGCGTGGCATATTGGCGGTTACGGGGAAATGGGGCGGGAGCGAACGTTATTTGTTGCGGTTGGCGACGATATCGATCGGAATTGGGGGAGGGGGAGAAGGCGGCGGATGGCCGCAATAGGCGGCGGCGGGAAGGAGGGGGCCAGAAGCGCTAGAATAACGAGAATTCAATAGATCTTCGATACGGTCTGCCGATTCAAGATCATAAATGATATATCGTATTCTATAGCAAATTTATTATATATTGTTGCGCGCCCAACGATTAATTTGATAGAATTATCTAATATATTCTTATTCTGGAATATAAAGATAATAGATATTTTCGAATTTAATATTCAATAATCCTAATCGGAATGAAATTATAAAATATCATTTCAAGAAAATACGAAAATGATTTTAATTTCATCGTATCTTCTAAAAAATAATATAGATTTCTATAGATAAAAAAGAAGAAGATTTCTTATGAATTTCTATTTCTATAATTGATTATAAGAATGACATTATCTTCATTTCATTTTAATATTATTGATAGCTATCGATATTTATTTCTCATTATATAGATTTTTTTTTTCTCTTCATCAATTTGATTTTAAGATATTCTTATGATATCTTTATATTATGGTCTATTTTTTGATTTCTAATATATGATATATCATTCTGATTTTCGATATCTTATTCAAATATTATAAATAAAAATCGTCAATCGATCCAATCAAATACGAAATATTATTTAGATATGAATTTTGATATTTATATCCGGAAATATTCTTCGTTTTTTTAGCTATATCTAATCTTCATGAATATCGAAAATAATTCGCGATCTTTTCGTCTCGTGAATATTAAAGAATTATTTCGAATATCATCATGAAATCTATATCATGAAATCTATATTATATGAGAAAATCTTCTTCGAATTTTATATAGAAAAATCATTTTCATAAATAAATTGAGAGAATCTCTATGCATCAATACGAATATCATATCTCTAGAATCAATAGGTCTTCTAATAGATTAATCTATTAGTACGAAATATCTTTCATTATTGGTGATTTCTATAAATTTTCTTATAAATTTCAAGATTTCTCTCATTCAAAATATTCATTCTTAATCTTGAATCATAAAAACTATCTTCATATGAATATATTCTTGATCAAAATAGATATAATCAAATACGTATTCTCATCTTTCGATATTATATATTTATGATCTTAAATATTGAATAATATCTATATGAAATCATTTTTTTAGAATCTCTATATTCAATCTGAAAATATCTATTATATTTATATGATTCAGAATATTATATGATAAGAAAAATCTTCTTAATTCATATTATATATCATGATCATTTATCTAGAATTAAAATATATTTTATCTTTTGCGATTTATATAATCTACTCTAATTTTTCTTTTGATTTTCCAAAGATTCATTGATATAATCGCAATGCCGTTGAAAACGCTATAATCTCTATGAATTTATTATCATCTTCAAAATTCAGATCGAATGAGGAATAATAAATATTTCGTTTTTCCTTAATTCTATATAATGAAATATATTGAGAACGATATATATAGATATTCTCAAGAGATTCGTGAGAGATAATCTATAAGAAATTTCGAGATTTATATTCTAATTTAGATTTGGGGTATCAACGATATTCCGAGAGAGATTAGAATAATAATAAGAAAGGAAAAGAAAAATATCCTATAATTTTTTTTTTTTTTTTTTTT